GTTATGAACCGCTAAGTATTAGAAATATCACAGGTCTTTTGATCGACTACGTAAACATGAACGACGCTATTTTGGCAAGATTTGTTTAGCGATGCTAGCATGTTGGTACACGCCTTTTTTACCCGATTAAAACTAGGTGCAAATAATTCCCGATAATAATCTTTACATGGCAGGGGCTGGATGTTTATAAGTTGGTAGACTGGCTTTGATACGTATCAGGGTTCAATAATGCAATATTTCAAAGTCCTAATTTTGTTTACATGTTCTGTTTACATTGTATTTGCCTGTAGTTTGAGGTCAAAGTGAAGTAATATAACGAGGTATCACTTTGCATGTAAATTTGTCGATTTTAATGAATATTCTAAAGGTATCGTGATCTGTCTGACTCCCTCGGTCCAGGTGTGAGCATTTTTGTTACCCACAACGCGGTTCGAGACAAAAGAACACTAGCCGTTTCTATTTGTTGGTATGTTTTGTAAGACAATTGGGTTAAGCGTCTTAGGGTTTCGAACTGCACAAGACGTTCATTTGGAATTGGTGATCTGGTTTTTGCATTATTGCCCATTAGGATGAATATATTGATGGATCAGTTTCGTGGTCCCTGTTAAATATTAGAAAGGTTAATAAGGTAAATTTTATAATTAGGACTCATGGTCTTTGAAAGCATAGTCAGTTTACCACATCAATATACTAACACTGTAATGCGAATGTTTTTTCCAAGAAGTTAAGGTAGCACATAATTGTCCACCCCATCGGCCTCCCCTCTCGCTCATGGTTTCTCCTGTCCGCCTACCCAATAAATCATCCTTTCTTGTATAGCCCATCTCGTCCTTTCATTTCCATACCAGTCCCATCCCAGTCTTCTGATCCAATCCTTATCTATCGTAATCGCTCAACACTTCACCCGACATTCTACTATTGCCTAGTCCATGGATGCCTCACTTACTCCACCTCTCGGCACCTTCTCGTTTACCAGTCCTCTCTCTCACTTTCTCATTTTAACCCAATCCAATCCAATACCTTCCAGATCGTTCCACCATATCCCCCTTTACTCGACAGTCCCAGTGACGTCTCCTTCTAGCATACAACCCCTTGCATACGCTTCTTCTAGCTTACTGTTTCTCTTTCTATCTTACGAGCCAATCCCGGAGTTTCCAGTTAGTGTATCACCCTAACTAACTTCCTATTCTTAACTACAGCTCCTCTCGGCCTCTTCTTTTTTGTCATCCCATCAACGGTGCCTTTTTTCCTTCATGACCTAGCAACGTTCCTTTATACCTTACTATCGATCCTGTCTTCTTCCTCTCGCTGACCTCCATTTCTAGCCTCCCTCTCTCTCCTATGACCCAATACCACCTTCACTGAATGACTAAAGCCTCTCCAGGCCGTGTCATCCCACATACAGTTCCTCTAAATTGTTCTTTCAATTCAATACCCACCTTTCTAACAGTTTACCACCCAGCCAACAGCCCATTCTGGCGTTTCACGCTTATGACCAATTCCGACCATTCACGATCGTGTACATATTATTAATTCAACGTTTGTGCCTATAGGTTGAAGATTGTTCTCATGTATTTGCAACATTATTGGGAGTACCAGAAGCAGGTCACAAACCCATATGTTATAACCATCCATCACTTTGAAATAACTAATAAATGCCGCTAACAATACTATCGTCTTCAATCATCTCCAACGAAAGTGAACAAACAATTTTTAAAAAAACACTGGTATGTACACCTCTCCCTCACTGGGAAGAATGCTCTGTCATATCGTTTAATCATTGAGCTACTAAACATTAGCCAATTTATCTACACTGGAATAATGATTACAGTCTTGTTACAAATGTGTTTTAATTTTTCAATTTATATATATTTTTATTTGCCATTTAGGTCTGACAAGCCTATTCTATATTATATCGTTTTAATATTTTTCTCGCTTTTGTTTTGTTCTCTATTGTCGCATATGGTTAACCAAAATTCGAATATATATTAAATCCTGCTGGTATCACGTGTTTCTTGCTATACATGTCTATAATAAATGAGGAGACAAATAGAAATAAAGGACGGAAGCAAATTAAGAGGGATATGGACTTATATAATAGGATGACGTGACCCAAATATACCAGAATAGAAAATTAGTATTGTTTTGTAAAGCTTTATTTTTATTAATATGAGCCCAACAGTTGTATTTATTAGAGCTGTGTTGTGTTTGACAGTATTTCATCGATCTATGGTATACTCCATGTTAGTTCATCTGTTAGCTATTGTGTCTCTTGTATGCATCCAGTGCAACAAGATTGTGATTATGTTATTGTAGTTGATACTCTGTACAATAAGCGGTAAGACATCCATCTGATGGTGTACCACTGCTATGTACTCTGTACAAGAACTGTAAAAAAGTTTCATTACTTTCTATACCTGCATGTCTTGCCTACTTGTACGCTTTTTACACTTGTCATGGCCATCGTACGCTAGCAGTTCAGTTCACGAAACCCGTTAATTTCTTTTTGCGATCAAATGTTGTTTTGACATCTTACTTGCATCCAACAAAGGTTTCCACAGAGTTTACCTAGTATTCACATCAAGATCTAATTCCATACAGTTTTAACTCCAGCAAACATGTGTGAATTGTAACCATGCTGATTGGTCAGGTCTCAATTCAAACGACAGTTCGTACAATAAAATGCAGATTCCCATCCAAATTTCGTTAACCTCTACCCTGTACCGTCATTAGCATATATCACTGTTCCTTCTGTTCTCTTATGGTCGGGGGCTAGCACCCATCATACACATCAACATATCAAAAACATAATGGACCAGCTTATGTGTATCCGCCAATTGTATAAATCATACTATGAAGCCTTTGACACAGTTAAACTTAAGTTAGAAGCTTGTATGCGTGGACATACAACTGCTGCTAACACAATACTGAAGATAAGTCATATGGTATCCCCATTCATTACATCGCACACAAATTAGAACTATCTATGCCCATCAGTGTCAAAGAGTTGAAATATGATAATAGATATAATTTTTACCATAACAACCGTAATCAGAGGCATAATTTAAGGAAGTTTAAACACTTTTTATTTACTGAAACTTTTGTGGACACATTATTCACATCATATACGCATGGCTGTTGAAATCATTGAACTAAATTAAAGATGAGCAGATGAGTTACTGCATACAATTTAATTTTCATTTTAATTCGGTAAATTATAGTTTTTGCTGCTTTTCGGGATGGTTATCTAAAACCTTTGTTGTCTAACGAAAATAAAAATATAATAATGTAGCACTGTATGTTTGGCGTACTAAAGTAGCAAACTAGTTCTTATAATATAGTATTTCACATTTCACTGTTCGTATGAAGCTAATTCTACTTATGAAATTCAACTAATATGCTTGCAAGTTTAAAAGGTTGCTTAGTGGCCACATGAAAATAAGAATGACTGAATTGTAACTGCGAAAAAGAAATGCTGTTGCCTGTGAAAGGATGTAAATGAACCGATGACGACACACCCTTCCCAATATCGCTGACATAAGTTAATTATTATAAACCCTCACGGACAAGATTATTACACGCTCACTCACTGGAAAACTTAATACTAATACCCTAGGCGGTATAATCTTTACAGTTTTGTTGTTCGAAATGTTTTCAGTTCTGTTTAGCTGTTTAGAACACCCTGGCATATTATACATCTGTTTATCTCCAAAATTTAGTTGTTTTCACTTTAAAGATTGTTTTATGAAATTAAAATTAATTAATTATTATAAACCCTTTAAATCCTCGACAAGATTATTACACGCTTACTCACTGGGACACTGGTATAATCTATATATCACAGGTTTTTCGATCGACTACATAAACATGAACGACGATATTTAGACAAGATTTGTTTAGCGATGCTAGCATGTTGGTACACGCCATTTTTACCTTATAAAAATTAGAAGATGCAAATAATTCTCGATAATAATCTTTTCATGGCAGGTACTGGATGTTTATGAGTTTGTAGACTGGTTTTGATACGTTTCAGGGTTCAATAACGCAAAATTCCATAGTGCTAATTTTGTTTACATGTTTTGTTTACGTTGTATTTGCCTGTAATTTAAGGTCAAAGTAAAGTCATATAACGAGGTATCACTTTGCATGTAAATTTGTCGATTTTAATGATTATTCTAGAGGTATCATGATTTGTCTGACTCCCTCGGTCCAGGTGTGAAGGTTTTTTTTACCCACAATGCGGTTCAAGACAAAAGAACGCTAGCCGTTTCTAATTGTTGGTATGTTTTGCAAGTCAATTGGGTTGAACATCTTTAGGGTTTCGAAATGCACAAAGCGTTCATTTGGAATTGGTGGTCTGATTTTAGTATTATTGACCATTAGGAGGAATACATTGATGGATCAGTTTGGTGGTTCCTATGAAATATTAGAAAGGGTTCATGAGGTAGATTTTATAATTAAGACTCATGATCGTTGAAAGTTTTACCACATAAATATGTTATAACTGTAATGCGGATGATTTTCAAGAAGTTAAGGTCGCACACAATTTACAATTAATTAACAATATAATTGAACCAAATGTGAGTCGTTGGACTTTACCCTGTATGTTACTAACTAAACGTGATAATTTAATGCAGTTACTGAATCTGATTCGTACATTATCCCGAGAACTGATGATTATATTGCTTGGATTGGGAATGCCAGATTTAAACATAATTGAACATGTGATTCGTTAAAATGGTACTGGCGTTTTCTTTCAATGGAACAGATTAAGGAAATGTTGGCTTGATAATTCCTGATGCTTTGAATATTATATTTTGACATATTCAATGAACAATTCGAGGGCTAAATTTCTGATCAAACGGCCCTTTTCTCGCCCGTAGCACTCCCGGCATTTCTCTTTTATTTAGCACCCATCTCGGCCTCTTTTTCCTGTTTACAAACTAATCTCATCATTTTCCAATAGTTCACCTCCTACCCCAGATCCCCTTCTTGCCTACAATCCCTCCAGGCACACCCTCTTACGTACAGTTCCATGTGGCACTTTATTTTCGTTTTCCTCCCCCATCGGCGTCTCCTCTCGCTCATGGTTTCTCCTGTCTGTCCAACCAATAAATCATCCTTTCTCCTATAGGCCATCTCGTCCTTTCATTACCATACCAGTCCCATCCCAGTCTTCTGATCCAATCCTTATCTTTCGTAATCGTTTAACACTTCACCCGCCATTCTACTATTGCCTTGTCCATGGATGTCTCATTTAATGCCCCTCTCGGCACCTTCTTGTTTACCAGTCCTCTCTCCCACTTTCTCATTTTAACCCAATTCAAAACCTTCCAGATTGCATCCCCTTGCATAAACCTCTTCTAGCTTACTGTTTCTCTCGTGTTCCCATTCTCTCTTACAATCAAATCCCGGATACAATTCAGTGTATCACCCTACCTGACATCCTAGTCTCAACTACAGCTCCTGTCGGCCTCTTCTTCTCGATATCCCTATCTGCGGTTCCTTCTTTCCTACATGACCTAGTAGCGTTCCTTTATAACTTACTATCTACCCGGCCTTCTTCCTCTTGCTGACCGCCATTTCCCGCCTCCTTCTCTCTCGTATGACCCAATACAACCTTCACCGATTGACTGAAGCCGCTCCAGGCCGCTTCATCCCACCTACAGCCCCTCTCAATTGTTCATTCAATTCAATATCCTCTTTGCTAACTGTTCCAACCACCGAGCCTACAGCTCATTCTGGCGTTTCTCGCTTATGACCAATTCCGAACATTCCCGATCGTGTACAAATTATCAATTCAACGTTCGTGGTTTTAGGGTGAAAATTGCCCTTGTGTATTTGCAAAATTAATGGGAGTACCAAAAGCAGGGCACAAGCCCATATGTGTTAACTATTTATCACTCTGAAATGACTAATATATGGCGCTAACAATACTATCGTCTTCAATCATCTCCAACGAAAGTGAACAAACAATTTTTAAAAAAACACTGGTATGTACACCTCTCCCTCACTTGGAAGAATGCTCTGTCATATCGTTTAATCATTGAGCTACTAAACATTAGCCAATTTATCTACACTGAAATAATGATTACAGTCTTGTTACAAATGTGTTTTAATTTTCCAATTTATATATATTTTTGTTTTGCCATTTAGGTCACACAAGCCTTGTACATATTGTATTGTTTTAATTTTTTCTCCCTTTTGTTTTGTCCTCTATTGACGCATATGGTTCACCATAATTGTAAAATATTAAAATGTATTAAATAATTTAAGGAAGTTCAAACTTTAGTTACTGAAATTATTGTGTACCCATTAATCACATTATAGCTGCATGGCCATTGAAATCATTTGAACTAAATTAAAAACAAGTTACTGCATATAATTTTCATTTTAATTCGGCAAATTATACTTTTTATAATGTAGTATTTTACATTTTACTGTTTGTATGAAGCTAATTCCTATGAGATTCTACTAATATGCTTGCAAGCTTAACATGTTGTTCAGTGGCCTTAAAGAAATAAGAATGACTGAGCTGTAACTGCGAAAAATAAATGCTGTTGCCTGTGAAAGGATGTAAATGAACCGATGACGACACACCCTTTCCAATATCGCTGACATAAGTTAATTACAAGTATTATAAACTTTCACTGACAAGATTATTACACGCTTACTCACCGGAAAATGTAATACTAGGTGGTATCATCTTTACAATTTTGTTTAGATGTTTTTATTTAGATGTTTAGAACACGCTGGCCTATTATACATCTGTCATCTCCTCAATTTAGTTATTCTCAGTTTAAAGATTGTTTTATGAAAAACTACTGGTATCACATAAATTAATTATTATGAAACCTTTAAATCTCCAGTGACAAGGTTAGTACACGCTTGCTCACTTGGACATTTAGACGGTATAATCTATACAATTTATAATCTATATAGTTATGTTGATCAAAATGTTTTCAGTCTTTCATGTACTGATATCAAGTTTCTAATTCTGCTTTTTTTCTGTTGAGAACTCGCCGTCACATTATACATCTGTTCATCTCCTAAATTTTGTTATTATTCTCAGTTTAAAGATTGTTGTTTGATAAAATACTGGTATCACGATTGTATTCCCAGTGCTTTTATTGATGCTTCATTAAGACACCAAACCCCGGATGGTGTGATTTATTGGCATTCAGCTGGATAATAACAAGAAATAAATTTCGGGAAAGAAAGAATTATTTAAATTAGAAAAAAATTGTATATTAATAGAAAACTATTCAAATAATTCATGACATCTGCTTAACATTTTAAACTATTTCAACATATCCACGTGTAAGCCTATGTTGGGGGTGTTAATGTGACTCCTTAGCTCCTTATTTATTTGTTGAACACAACATTTAAATACGACTCCACATACATGTTATCATCTCGTATTGCTCTGACGCAATCTTTGGATCCACATCGTAGAAAAATGGTCGGAGTTTGGTTTTTCCTCGCAGCAGTCCTCCAGGCACAGGTTAGTGAATTACTGTTATTGTAGTTGAATATCTAACACTAATTTGGAAATACATTTTCTACATATGTTAATTATGTACATATACATATGTTAATTAGATAATATTAATACTATTATTATACCAATATTAATAATATTAACAAACGATAGTATGTTATAAACGGGACATGGGAGCACTTTCTTGCATCTCTATTTTGATGAAGCACCAGTTTTCCTGCTTTATGAAAAAAAAACACCACCAAGACGCCCGCAAATGTAATTCTTCTCATCCCGCCCATCCTCTTCCATCCATATTTTATACTGTCAACAATCTAGAATACGTTTCTCTTTATTATATATATTGAGCTCCGTTCTTTAACATGATTGGATCGTAACGATTGGCATGCATAGTCAAAATTTACAATAAAACTAGACACACACTATTGCCGGTAATTTGTACTAATTATTAAATGTAATTCTACAGTCATAGATGATAATTATTAGAACATGTTAATTATCGACATTATAATACTTATAAATAACATTGAAGTTGATCAATATAGTGATTGCCATTATTACAAAAAATAATATTGTATTGTTACAATAATTTAATTGTCAGAGCTGTAAAAATGTATTATTCAGTTAGAGGAAGTTATAGTTGATATAGGAATAGTAGCATATATTATTTAATTTTTCGAAGCTGTTAACATCCGATGTAGGAATGACACCAAATTAGCACCCTGTATTATTTAGTCTCCGGGAGCTGTCATTATTCAATATAGGAATGGCACCAAAATGTATAAAATAGTTGTTGGAAGCTGTTAATATACGATATAGAATTGGTACCAAAATAGTAGCATGTACACATAGTTGTCGAGAGTTAAGGTTCGATATCGGAATGATACCAACATAGCATGTATGTAATCAATATCAGATTCAATTCACAATGTGGTAATGTCAAATTACGGGGAATAATTTGATATTGAATAGTGAAGTTGTACCTTTCCAAAAATCTCCTCCACAAGATGGCTCAGCATGAGGGATTTCGTCCTTCTGTTTTGTGATATCTGCTAGAGCAGTGATGTAACAAGGAATGGCATTTTCTATTCTTTACTTCGTGTCCTCCCAATATCCAATATGTTTATACAGAGCTGTGCATTCCACGGGAACCACACTCATTCTACTTTCAAAGGGTCCGTGAACAGTATTATGACCGGTGTTCATGTATCAATCTGTGATCTTTGTCAAATGGTGGTTAAATCCATCCATTACTCATCTTGAATTTACAAGGTAATTGTTCCGGCGAAGTACTCACCTTGATGTATTTCATTAGGACCACGTGTATGTGACAATGCCCTCGCAGTTTAGAATCAGTTTACCAACAGCCAATCATATTGCTTCTTTCTTCAACGCGCTTGGCCAAACTATCAAAATCTTCGAGGTGGAGCTAAGTCACGAGACGCTCCACGTTGCTATTTAAGACGCGCACCACTACACCATGTATTTCTATGGGCTCTGCACGAGATGCTGTGAAACACCGGTCGAAAAGCTGGTGAAATTTTCTAAAATCAAAAAAACAGCACAAACTTAAACAACCTAAACAAATCCTAAACAACCAAATTTAAATATGTTGCATATGTAGTGGTAATCTTGTTACACTGTTCAGCGGGGGTGCCAACAACCATCACAAAATACCGTTTTCTGAAAATGTATTGTCCTTTGTTGTCGGGTGTGTTTAAACCGAAGAACTAAAAAAAAGAACGATGACAGAATATTCATACTGTTTAATCATAACAGTTTAATACATTTACATGCAGTCATCGTTCATACTGTTTAATCATAACATATATATTCTTCGTTCTTCGTTCTTCGGTTTAAAGTCGCCCTTTGTTTTCACCATGATGATGATGAAAATATCTGACCCGAGTATAAATGTCGCTGCACACAGTGATAGCTGTGTTGGCTTGGATGTCGAGGCGCTTTCTGGCAGTCATTGTAACATAGCTTTCTATTGGTCGGAAAACTTTCTATCGCGCAACCCCGTGACATACACGGTTATGAATAGAATTACCGCACGTTGTTGTAGAGAGAAGAATGTCCGAACGGAACAATACCGTGCAGGCGGACGATGTCCACCACTGGGCTGGATGTGCTAACATCTGGACATATTCTTGAGGGCTGCTATGGAAACAAGACCTTTCATGGTTGAAATAATTTCCACAAAGCTCAATCAGTTGTCTGAGCTGCACAGATATTACTATCGCAAAACCACCAAAAAATGAAAATGGAGGATATTGTCACTCCAAACCAAATTACTAGGGCAAAAATAGACTCACGCCATCCATTAAATAACTTTGCGAAATTTACAGCAAGAACACAATAGCTTCACCACTATCGTCAGTTCTCGTTAAATGATACACACTACAATAATAAAAATATGTCACAAAACAGTATGTTCAATAATATATAACAATGTCATACGATTTCAAGTATTGCCAACCGGTTCACAACGTTCTGTACAATTCCGAAAATTCGCTGACCAGGAGGCAAGTATAAATCACACAGTCCAATGCTGAATGTCAACAGAGCTGCTCCGATGCTGGTTCGGCAGTCGCTTAGGTCTCATCACGGCACTGGGATAATGTAAACTTTCTAT